GGTTAAAAAGGCTCTGCTCGCAGGGTAGATTATAAGCTGTATTTTTCTTCAAAATCTTGTCTTTTACGCCGCTGGCTAATTATTTTTGTATTGAGGGCTCATGAGCGTGCGCGAAAGCACTCTGTCTAGAAAAAAAATAGTACGTTATGATAACAAAACAAATAAGCTTGGCTCTCCCCTTTAATGCTAGCAAGGCGTTTGTTCAGGACTTCCTTGCTGGAAAATACTTCCTACCTACCTTAAGGTTTGCGTTAAGGTCGTTCAAGTGAGGAATTCAGTTTCCAGAGCGCTCATCAAGCTAAAATGATATTTCTTGTCTAGCTGTTCAATACTTTATAAAAATGAAGAAACGAATTTCTGGAAACAAATCTCTATACCCTTCCTATGTACTTTCTTTAGGTAGCTACAGACGTTTGATTTGGAATTCAAGTCAACTTGAATGTTGATAGACTAATGTCGCCAGTGCTCCAAACCCCACCGCGGCGAGACACAGTTTTTTCCACCAAGACCTTTCTCTTTCGTCATATGCCTCGCGAAAGATCTGATTAAACGCCTCCTGTTTGGAAAAAAAATATTGAGCAATTAACAGAGTCGTTAAGGCTTTGATCTGCTCTCAGTAATCTCAGCATTTGGCAATCTTTCTCACGAAACGAATGTGATTATTATTATCATATTAATTTTTTAATGAGTCACTCGTTTTTCAGCATTTCATCTTTTCTTTTTTTCTAAGTTTAAGATTTATGAAGAAAAACAAAGCTGATGATGATGATTTATATACATATTCTAGCAAGAATATGCATGTAGGATTTGGATTTTAATTAAGTTTTATTGTCATCATTATTGCGTTTTTCCTTTCCTTAAGCGAGTCCAATTTGAAAGAAGGAAACTCCTTGGGCCAAGGCCTAGCTTCTCCATATTCACAAATATTTCTTATCAAAAAGGAATATATTATTGTGACCGAAGAGAACTCCACCTTGGCCTTAGTTGAGTTGACAAAAGATGATTGTGTCTTTGGTTTTGTGGCTTGACCAAGTTTTGGCAAAGTTACAAAGGGATTGCGAAATACATCTCATGGCTTTGTTTTACGTTTTATCATTTCAACCACAGAAACGGTGGCCTCGACCTCTTCTAATGTTTATCTTATTGAATTAAATGAGAAAACTTTTTTAACTCGGAGAGTGAACTAAGTTTTTTTTTTTACGTTTCATATTTAGAAATATAAAACATACGTGACAGTTAACAAAGCATCACAGGACGTTTTTCTGAAGCCACTTAATTATTAATTAGTCATGAATTAATCGATTTCTATGTGTTATCAATTTTCAAATCGCAAATGACATGGTTCTTGGCAGTTTTTGAAGAAATTAAGATCTCAATCATTCAGAAGATATTCAGTTTTCAATAGGTTTGGAAAACCAGGATGAAATAAAGTTATCATGCTCGCGGTTTTGTTGGTTTGCGTCCAACAAAATAAAAATGATTATCTCAAACTAATCGGCGAACCAATATCTTCCCACCCCTTGCTGTTTACTTGTATCCAATCTAGTTGTCGAGGAGCGGGGAGGGAGAGGGTGAAAGGCTGGTGAAGGGGATTATAAACATGAATACTCTCTATATAAAACACAACTTGGTAATTCCGGCTAGGGCTCAATCCCAAGTCCCCTGATTTGGAGTCCAGTCCGGTGCAATTCTATCCTACCTTTATCTTTGGAACCCAGACCATATTAAAAACTTGCAAGGCGACTTGAAACTAGACGGCCGATTTCATCGCTTGACAACCATTTTACCGCAAAGTAAAATCTGTCGAGTATCTTGAAAATGCGCAAAATTGTTAGATCTAGAATGCAAACTGTGGGTTTTTTTTCAAACTTTTGTCAAATGGTGATTGCATCTTCCTAGAAAAACTCATTTACTCATTAGCATTAACTGTATTTATCAATCTTTGTCAATTTTTATTATTTTTGGTATTTTTGGGACGTGTTGGCTCGTCAGAAAATATCGATGCTATCCACACCCTGCAGATTCTTTTATCCAAGTTTTCTCTCACGCTCACCTTTTTCTTTCTTTTTTTTTTTTTTTGCAAAATCAGCAAATTTTTGTGTTGCAATACATTTTGAATATTTTGTTAAGTAATTTGTTCTTTGTTCGAGGTCATTTTGCACAGCAAGAAATGTATTATATCTGAAGAACACTCATATTCCATTTGTTCAATCACTGAGGTGTGCCATCTATCACATCTTCTGTGTAGTTTCGTGGACAGGACGGTAAGAATCATTTTTCGTGATACTGCATGATACCCTACGCCGCGTTAATAAATTCGTAGTAAATGGTTATCGCATATTCAGCGCACGTAACTGCTCACGGAATGACTCATAGCTTTAAAGAAGGCACTAAAACCCCAGTCAATATTTACACAGACTAGCTCACGCGTGAAGTGATTTACACATTTTCGCTGGCTAAGTTTTTAGTCTCTGATGTCTTAGAGAATAGTTTTTATGTGCTGACCAATAGTACCAATATCAGATTTCCTATGAGGATCATGACTCATGGAAAGACGTTTCACTTTGAAAAATGAGTTCATCATCTGTTTATAGAAAATTTTCCTAGGTCGTCAGAACAAGACTGAAAAAAGATTTTTGGAAGATATCCCGATAGAATAAACCAAGTTTAGGCTAAATCTTAACGAAATGGATAATAAGAAATGTAGAAAAAACTGAAGATGTACGTTTTTATATGATACTTGAATAAAAATAAAAAGAACGAAGAAAAAACCCTCATACGGGTTTAAGCGGTGTTAAAAGGAGAAAAGTGAGGAATTCTGCTTGTCCAGTTTTCATTTTTAATTGCATACATTAGTTTTGTTGCGTGTGTCTTGCCTACTCCCAGTTGACTTGATAGCCTAGTTAGTTTAGTTTACCAACAAACAAAAGGTGCAGTTATCTTAGGTTTTGAGTGTTCTATCAATCAATGGTTGATTTTCTATGAATATGCAAACGCACATTGCAAAATTTTAAGCACTAAACCGTGTTTAGAAATGTACATTTTGCTTTTAACCCGCATTCAGTATTAATTTTGCTACCACAAAATAATCGCACGAATTTCGTCCAAAATTAACTCTGACCTACTGGTGACTTAGCAACGGTTTTCGGGATCCGCTATTACAGACTGGGGTGAAATCTTTGCCTACAGGCTAAGTTATCCAAAATGGGAGATGAGTTGTAACTTACATTGTTCTTACTAGCTTCTCTCAAGACAAGCCTCTGCAAAGCGAATAATTAGACATTTATTCGCTCCTCAAGGCACTCTTCGCTACGTTGAGTTAAATAGGTAGCTGTCAGCAAATGTAAATGTTTCTTATTTGCCATTGTTTGGGCCTCTACAGGTCAGAGGACGTCCACTATGACATTGGACATAAACATTGTTGAATTACCATAGGTAAAACTAGCATATTTTAGTTGACACGTACAGTCCAGATCTTATCACAGGCAAAAATTCTTATCCATTTTAATTCCCCAATAAATTAATTTGGAAGTTGGTTTGCTTAATGCTATGAACTGGAAAACTTTTAACCATTTTCGAAGCATAATTAAAATTTCATGTTGAGAAATAACCTTTATAAATGAATATTGCGCAATGTGTGCGACGACTTTCAGCGATGGTGAACGCCTCAAGAAAGCCGGTCAATATTGCAACTGGTGAAGTTCATCGTCACCTACGGCTATCTGCATTAGCTTAAAATTTATACACAACTGCATTTTGCTTTTGAATACGAATTATCTTAATAAGCTTTGATATCACTTGTCAACTCTGTATGGTGTTTATTCTAAAATCTATTTTTATAAATTCATTTCCAGAATTTTTTATTTTTTCGTTATGTGCCCTAGCCTTTCAGTTTTAAGTGCAGTTTTTGTTTGGTATAAACAGATACAACGCCTTTTCATGTTTTATTGCAACAGCACAAAAATAGTTTTTCCGAATTCGCAAATTTTAAGCAGTCTCATAAAAGGTGATCGATTCTTTTTCTTTTTGCTAAGCACTTTGAAACGAATTTGCATTTTGCATTGTGGAGTATGATCGTTTTTAAATCAATATTGCAGGAATGATTGTAAGCGTAATATAAAACAGGAAGTTTTAGAAGACTTAACGGGGCTGCTCTGGTGGAAATTCTATTGTAGAATTCATCTATTTAGAATGTTACTACGGTGGAGGATTCTGAAATGGTAATGAATCAGAAATTTCTGAAAAGGGATGAAATTCTGATAAAACCCGTTAAACGCGACTTGTTCGTCCTCAAGTCAGAGTTTGAGGATTGGAAATGTCCGTTTGGTTGACAACTTAAATATTCTTTTCACGCACAATTTCCATCGTCCATGAAACTTTCCTGGCAGAGCTACTATAAAATAATTCAAGAAAATTAATTTCTCGAGGACGTTACTAAGGCTGTCAGATAGTTCTATGAAAAATTCACAAATTGGTGTGCACAGTTTTTTAAATATTCAATAATCCTGCTAAACATAGCAGATTATCGCGTCTGTGAGATGTAGTTTGTTAATAGTAACTTACCCAGCCGCCGTTTGATAGAATCCAGCCCGATAGACTTGAAATATAATTTCCAACCCAATCAGTTATATCGTCTGCTTCCTTCTCAAGTCCGTTTCTAAAACAGTACTGGGCTAGTTTCGCTCCAAACGCAAAAATCGCCACAATTCTGCCCCAGTTCACTCCATCGCGGAAAACTTCGTCTGCAACCTGCACAAATTTTGTATGGGCAGAGCCAGTAAGTATGTTGAGCCTTCCACACATGTTGGCGAGCACTGCAGAATGACGATCTTCAAGCTCGTCGGACAGCCTTCTCAAAATTGCAGCGGTGTGACTTGGAGGAGGGTTTCGCTTTCCAATGCGATACTCAACGAGGTCATTTGCCAAGGCCTTAGCTTCCTGACAAACTCTCTGCATTTCGTCGCTTTTCGAATCTTGAAGTTGCGCGAGTCTGGTTTTCTGCAAACAATCCATATCTTTCATGCCTAGATTGTTTCTTATACAGTTTACCCTTGATCACAGTCGGAGGAATTTAAACGTCCTTTTCGTTGAAGTTTCGTTTTGTCTCAATTTAACGCTGGTTGGAATTTGTTTTGATAGTTATGGCTCGCTAAGGAAGCCTTTAAATTGCCACCTGTTACGCGCGGTGGACGGGTCTCGCAATTATGACTGGTTGATTCTACTCAATCCATTCACATGATTGGTCGATAAGTGTGAATCGATTTTCTTGTGGGTAGTTTATTCATATTAAAATGCACTGATGGGGTAAATTAATTCATTCAATTCCAATTTATTTTTGGACTGACACTAGCAAGGATGACGCGCTTTTCTATTGGGTAATAAGTTTAAACTGTGCAAATTCTTTCACTGAAATTGTTCACTTTGTCGTGCTTTTCGTGTGCGGTGATTGATACGTAATATTAACTTTTCTCAGCAGCTTTCTCATTTTAGGCACGACCCTAAACGATTTTATTCTGCGGGCAGAACCAGGTTTAGGTCCTTTTCTTCCACTTTGTTTTTTCTTTATAAATTCAAATTAGGGCCCGCGGCATCGCCTTTCATCTACCCACGGCTAAAATCTCTCACGTACTGCTTCGGACGAAATTCGTGCGTTATCACGCAAACCTTGCATTTTTGTTTGCGTTAAGTGTGATGTCAAACAAGCAGACTTCAGATTTTTAATCCATGTTAAACAAACATTTAAAAGCACACTTTCTGAGGTAGCCAAAACACGAAAAGGTTGCATTGAACATCAGTGTTAAAAATAGATTTCTCTAACAACACTTATAAAGCTTTCCTTTTTTAAATCAGTGATACATACCAGCAAGGTCTGAAAAATTGATAAATCTAGTGGCAAACTCGCCAACCTCACTTATTTCAGTCGTTTTATCGGGAACGACAGTGCAATCAATTTGTCTAGCTGAGCGCTTACTCCCGACTTGGTGTGATAAAAATAAACGATTTTGTAAATTATCCTATTGTCACAGAAACACAAGTTCACATGCAATATTCTAATCATAGTTGCCATCTACATATGACTTCCAAGTGCAAAAAAACGTTTCTTCAGTGACTCCGACGAGAGATGAGTTTTAAACGTGCTCGTAAATTTAAGTTATTTTAAAGGCTTCTCTTTTTACATAGAATCCTCTTTTTTTTTTAAATAATCAGAGTCGTAGTTTAAAGTTTCTTTGGCACGACTTAATTTTTGATTGCAACTTGCATTCAAGGTCCCCATTCATGAATATTTGTGCTGCGTCTCTTGCACGATAACCAGTATACTCTTAATTAGGGGTCATGATATCTTACAAGCATGCTGTAAAGTTGAACTTATTGTCAGCCTTACAGAAATTATATCGTTCCTTTTCTGTATGCTGAATTCGCAATACTTAGCTCTGCATGATAAGGTAACTAATCATTGAGAGCTCGGTTGAATGGAAATGACTATTATGCAAAGTTAAAGTAATCTGTCCCAGGAAATGACACGCGACGAGAGTTTTGAGCGATAATTACGAACTGAAAATGTTAATGTATTTTTTTTTTCCCAAGGTAAGTCATAAAAGTGATCAGACAGGCGTGTTAGATGCTTAAGCTTGAAGATTTGTTGATGATCGAATTAACACCGACGACAGTCAGCTTTATGATGCATTAAATCCTGCATGATTAGAACGGGTAAACTCAAAGAGCAAGTATAACCTGGGTTTAGGTTTACTGTACTTCATCAAACAAATCTGTCAGAAAAATCGATCACTATCTCTTGTTTGTAACAAATGCAGATATCTGTCCATTCACTGACCGAGGCAGATGGCAAGAGTTCAAAGTGGCTTGAAATGTTTCACGCAACATTTTGCGCAGAACGGAAGGTAGGCGATCATTTGCGTGCAAAAAATAAGAAAGTCCTCGGGATTTTTTTGAGCGCTAACCCGTTCCTAAGGAATCCGCGCTCATGGAAGTATTCTTGCTTTCAGAAACGTCTTTTTCAATATAAATATTTTTTGCGAATTTAATTTTTTTTTCTTGGGCACAGTGCACGAAACGAGTGGCTGTAGTGTCGTGAAAGCATACACTATTGCACAAGTTTAGTTGAGCTTGCCTATCAAACGCAGAAGCGGTCTCTTTTCATTTTAATACCGTCTGTGGGGAGAGAGATGAATTATTCTGTGACCAAAAAACTTGTTGCAGATCTTATTCTAGAGTTGTCATTTTATCAACCTCGTTCCCAGGGTCTCTAATCTTCCCGCCCCCTTGAGAGTGACCAGTGTCAAATTTCTCCTTACGGCAGCACCCCTGAATGAAACATTTAAGTCATGAGAATAAAAGAAATGATCACCAAGTAAAGAAGCTCTTGATTGTTGGACAAATTCTCCTTGTCAGCACATTAGGAAAAGTATGTAGAGAAAGGTATGGAGAATATGCATACTGAATATAGACTGTAAAGGCATAATTCGGTGCGATGTGAATGTTTCTTACCAGAAGCTTATGATCTTATAAACGGCCTTCGGTTCTTACCAACCAATAAAAGCTCATAAAGATTGCAAAGTCATCACTTTTTCATTAGAAGTTTTCATAACTAATGCCACCCGATTACAAGAGACAAAAAGAGAGTCACGTACAGCCATTTTCCTTATAAAGAAGACTGACTTTTCAAAATTCCAACACATTCTATTTTTATCCATACTTATATAATTCTAATTGAAAAATGCTGACTTGATTTGCTCACCAAGTACGCCTTGGTGCTTGGCGAGGATACTTTCGGTTTCTGTACACTTAAACCGAAAAAAATGTAGCATTTATCTGTCTGACCCTTCCAGTTGTCACTGTTATAGTATACGGTCCTTGTTTAAGTAGTATGAAGGGTCAAGTCACATATTTAAATCTCTGAAGCTATGCACTTTACGTGTAGCACGTTCTTCTCTGTGATTTTAATCCTTAGTTTTGTTTACGTAATGTTTCGTTTTAAAAACAAGGTAATTCAGGGGCACTTCATTCCCAAAAATATTTAGTTCAGTTGAGACTGTCTTATCCAAATTATTCATAAAAAATAAATACTTGGTTTTTTTACTGCGTGACTTAAATCATCGTCATATTTAAAAAATGCATTACTTTCCACGAAAGCTTAAACTTCCCTTGTTTCCTTTTGAAAAGCACGATGGATTAGGGCTTGACTACTGACAACCAATCAGGAGACTGCTTGACACCGATAGCAAATCATTTTCGTTCCCTGGTTTGATGGGTTTTTCCGGCCCTTATTCCCAAATTACCTCATGACAAAGGTTACTACGTGCGTCAAGTATGACGTAATTGTCACGGAAATCTATATAAAAGGTACGTTTTTAGTTTCATTTCCTAAGTGTACTACATTGAAAAAAGTGTAAAAAACCTTGTAATTGTCAGGGAACGAAGCTACGTTGAGTGAGAAACAGGCTTTATTCAGGTTAGTCGAAACGCTTCGCGAAAAGTTTCAACAGTCCCTTCAGTGAATTGGCGTGCATAGAAATCTTTCAGTTTGATTCGAACTATGATATTTCGTCATCACGAAATTTTCTCGATTTGTATCACCAAAACTACTATAACTGCAGTGAATCTTGCTCTCTCTGTGGGCGATAATGTTTATTTTAGTTTGGCCTTGTTGGGTTTGCATTACCAGGCGATGATTCAAATTTTTCTTGTATTTATCGTAGAAGTCGTATGGGGTTCACGTTCTTCAAACGATCGACTAGCCGTACAAACCAGCCCCAAACCAGACGGAGGTCTTTCATGTTTCGCCGAAGAAGTCGTCAGTCAGTGGACGAGAGAAACTCGCACAGTGGAAATGCTGCGACTAGTCAGCGCCATGTTGGCGAGTGTTGCGCTGAGTTGAGCAGTTCAAGCGATATAGGAAGATGTTTGCGAGCGATCGGTGACGATCTTAACAACAGCACGCTGAGTCTGCACTCAGCAACGTAACCCAGTTGGATTATCCGTTTGAATATTGAATCAGAGAGAAAAATCAGAGGTAGTATTTGCCACCGACCACGATTACATCCAAAGGGACTATATGAAAAGTAGAAAGAGGAACAGAGTAGAGAAAGAGGAACTTGCGTGTTGACATATCATTTCCGCTTTCACTTGGCAATGAGCTGTGTGATCTACTATGTTTGGCAATCCCTATTCACTGCGTCAAGATGACAGAGACTTTGTTTATGCCTTATTTATTGCATACGTGTGTTGAAATAAATCTGTAACGACTTTTCATCTCTAAGCGTGAACGAGCATTTCCGCCTCCTTTAGATTGCGTGACGGAAGTGGGGAATGCGTAACGTGATGGCACGCCTCTTCCGACACCAATAATCCTGTAATTCAAATTTAGTCAAATTGAGTAACTTTTCTATCGCACCAAAATAACTAACAAGCATCCCCTCTGCTCACAGGCCATACTGAAACTTGTTTATGAATATCTGATTTACTGCATTCTTTCTTCTCATCTTCTAGTGACACAAATCTCCCCCCTTTGAAGCATTAACACTTTTCTTCTCCATCCTTTGAAAATTATCCTTTCCCAGTCTCTCAAGAGGTCGCAATGTGTGACAATTTAAATGCCATCACAAATTATAACAATCTGGGATTCACCAAGGAGGGTAGGTAGCAATAGAGCCTCAGCCATGCATCACTAGATTGTTAAGGGGTACATACACCAGTGGGTAAGTCCTTCAATATTTCGCCAAATAATGATGACAATAATTTGGAGTGAAGTTAACTTATCCTTTACATTCACATTAAATGGAATAACTGGCATAAATTTTGGGGGTTAGCTAATAATCCATGTGAATAGATAAAAAACAAAAACAAAAAAACACTTGTAGTTCTCACAAAGTAGTGATAGGATGCAGAAACTAGTGACGGCTTACCAATAGTCTTTTACCAAGTGAGTGATAATCGTTTCTCTCCCATGAGATCACTTGCAATTCTCCTTACTTTTTGCCATACAATTCTCATTATGCTGGTTCAGAGAATTTTGTATTGGATCAACTAATATCGCCCTTACTGATATGTTTCTTTATTCTCCTTACTTGTCTACTTGACATTGTATCAATATTGTAAGGAGAAATTCTGTCTTGATCACCCATACAAACAAGAGGGTTGACCTTAAACGTAAGTGTATATTAAACAAAGCCACTTCCATCAAATTATAATACCTGCAACATCAAAGAGACTAAAAAAAAATGGTAATGAGAAAAAAAAACAAAAAAAAAACAACCATACTTTAGTTTTGTTTTGTTTTTTTAAACAAAAATGCATGACATACAGTAATTAGATTACAATATCGTTGTAGGAAGTGGTATGACATCCATGCACCATTAACTATGTGTTTGAATTATTTATAAATTTACATTACATTTTACAAAATAAACCTAAGTACTTTGCATCCCAAAAGTGTTGACTTTCCTCTCAGAAATGAAGAACATGATGACTGAGAACTTATTTCCCAGCTGTTGTGGAAACATGCTACTTTTTTAGGTCTTGATGTTGTAACTTTTTTCACCACTTTTTTTTCTTTGCAAGCCTGTGTAATTACCCCTTCTTACACAAAAAAAATATATTTACAACTGAATTTTTTCCATTGACAGGAAAAGGTTGGCGCAAATCTATTGTTTTAGCCCCACAGATGGGTAATTTTAACAGTTGACATGATGATAGACCACTTAACTACTGATATACCAAAAGCTAGTTACACAAAACAACTTCTCTTATTTATAAAACTATTTACATTGCATGATTTCATAACTATTTACATTGCATGATTTCATCAATTATCTTTTTTGAGGCTTCACTTTATCTCCTTGACTCCTGTCGATATCTGAGACCTCCACCATAACTTCTCCAAGTGATGCTGGTGCATTCTGTGACATGGGAGGAGTGGCAGCCTTCAAATAATCTGTACTGTTCAGATTAAATTGTGCCACCTCTGGAACCTCATCTGGGTACTCCTCCTTTACTTGAAGAAGTGTGCGAGATCGCACTGCAGAAAGGACAACAACAAAAATAGAAATGAACAAAACTGAATTTCATAACTTTCAAAAAATCTGATGAAAAACACCACATTGAAACTGATGAAATCCATGTCATTTTTACCCCCCACTTCTAGAGAAGTGACTTACCAATGGCTGGTGCATATTTTGCAACAGCTTCTTTCTGTTCTCCAGGACCATTCTTTATTGGAAAGAGAACCAAACCAAAGGCCAGAAACAGCACCATCAAACATGTCCCTGCTTGGGCCTTGGTTGGATGTGTAGATGCTACCAGTGCTTGGAGCTCTTTCAGCTGATCCAGCAGTGTCCTATAAACATTCATGTTCACATTAGCACATGTAAATAAACCAACCAATACCTGCTATTTTCTGTCAAATATGGTTCAAGATTTTCCCATCATTGGTCTCTACAGAATGAACCATCTGCATCAAATGATAAATCTAGCCTTGCCCCAAACTGAATAGAGGGCAACTCACTTGTTTTGCTCCTCCAAACTATTGACTTTCATGGATAAGTTATGGTTAAGCTCAGTGCAAGCTTTCACCCGTTCTTCTAGTCCATCAATATAATCCTTCTTTTTCCGTCTACTCTCTTGTGCTGATTGCTGAAATAAAATTACAAAGTTGACATGAGTGAATATCTCATGAAAAGGTTTCCATTAAGTCTGCAATAAAATTTTTAAATCAATGTAAATGTAGATAATATCCATTCTTTCCATGAATTTCACTACAACACTAGCCTTGATTATCACCAATACACAATCTTATAATTTCTCACCTTGTTCTTTATTTTTCTTCTCACTTTTTTGAGAACTTTTTCTTCTGCCTACAGTTCAAGAAATGAAAACAAACTTTAAAGATGAACTTTGCACTTTCTCTTAGGCATCTACATTTATAAACTGAAAATCACCTTGTTATTTTAAACCCTTCAATACTCACTCCTTAAAATTAGCAATCCCTCCTTATCATAAAAAATTAAAAAATATATATACCAAATCTATTTATTTTAGGGCTTTGCTGAGAATTAAAAATCAAGGATTAACCTAATCCTTCAACTCCCCAAAGTGATTGACATGTAACTTCTCCTTACAATATCCATAGACTGTCCATCAAACAAGTAATGAGAACATTTAAATGTATCAGGTAGAAGTTGTTATCTTGATCTAATGGCAAATTCTCACAACCAAGTTACAAGGAAATGTGTAGAAGTTCAAGGGGAGAATTAACAATTAGATCTTAGAGGTAAAGGGTCAGCATAAAATGTCTAAGAGTAGTTTGACATGAAATTACTGGTTTGCAATGAACACTGTCAAATAATAATTACTAACCAGAAAAGATCACACAATCAAAGCACCTATGGGTGGACTACTCGCATGGTTTGCATATGTTCCGTTCTAGTCCTACCCTACTGCGGTAATGCAGTAAAATAGACCACTTTCATAAATGGCTGCCAGATTAATATTCTTTTGTTTAAATTTAAATTAGCCTTTCTGGCCTAGTTCTCCCGTACAAAATTCAAAAGAATACATTATCTTAAGCGAGGCCAGAAAGGCTAATTTAAATTTAAACAAAAGAATATTAATCCGGCAGCCATTTATGAAAGTGGTCAATGGTTAGGAAAAAAAAAAAAAAGAAAGAAAGAAAGAATGTCATACCTTGGTGAGAGGCATATCCGTTGGTAGGGTGACTCCTTCTAACTCTAACAACCTCTTCTCTTCACATGTAAGAACCAGAAGTTTTGACTACAAATACCAATTAAGGGAATCACACTCATTAAAAGAACAAGAGTTTTCTTCAAGGAAATCACTTAATATTGTATAAGGTCAGTAACATCTCTTAAAAATAGAAACCCATTTGGTGTACATGCAGCTTCAAATATCCATCCAAATATTCTTGGTTCATCTGAGCCCTGAAGAAAATTTTTCTCAGAGCACCTCTGATTTCGCATAATTTCTGAACTACAGGGCAAGATTGTACATGTTTACAACTCTAAGAAAGAAAAATAATTATAGTAGTATTGTCTTGAGAAGAAATAAAAAAAGGCTACTCCATGCACATGCACCTCTTCACATAATGTTCTGATGACATACCTTGCGCGCACTAGAAGCAGAGGATGGACAGATAGAAACTGAAGACAGATTGATTGATACAGTGGATGACTTTACTGTTGTTGGCAAGCAGGTTTCAGGGGTTGGTGATTCTGAGGCATCAATATTACCTTCTAAGTCAGGGAGCTCAACATTCCATCCTTTGAGAATTGCAAGGAAATCAGGAAAGGATAAGCATGACTCTTACTTCAAGTATGTTAGAGTAGCCTTTAAGCAACCTTAAATCATAAAATGGTCACCAAACATGGACAATTTTGGTAAGAATGTTCGTCTCTGGGACAGAATCTTACCCCAGAACAAGGTACAAATGTACAAAATTTTATCAGCTTTTAATTTGTGTGGTGATTGGAGGGTTAAACTACTCTTTGTAACGACTTTTGCTTGAAGCAGTCCACACAAAGGTGTTGGCCACAGAGAGGACATACACAATAGGTAGTTTGTGGCAGACACCTTGTTGTCCCAGTGTCTTGCAGTCTTAACCCATTAGCTCCTATGCATGATCAGTGCCTTATCAATTGATCCCCTAACAAATTATTTGAAAATAACATCATAAGAATTGTATGGCAGACAGTAAGAATAATTACTAAATTAAAAATAAATCCATTCAGTATAGACTGATTTTTGTTGCACTCCACTTACCTAGATTAATTGTGACATCTTCACTGTTTTGCGGCAAACCAGGTGATGCTGATGTTGAGCTGAGAATTTCAAGCAGCTCATCATCCACAGTGTTAGGACTGGGTGTCATGTATGAATCTGATGAAGTGCTTTCACTGTGAGGTGGAGACAAATCACCAAGTTCCGGGAATTCTTCCCCAAATAAAAGGCCAATGTCAAGAAGACCAGCATCAGTGTTACTGGCAAAATCATCCTGTATGATAGTAAAAAAATGAACTCTTTAAGTAAAGGATCATCTTCTCTGATGCTCTGGATAGCATAATACAAAACAGAGAGCAGCTCATTCACAAGAACAGTAAAAGCAAAATTATGCAGCATTATTTATCTGACCTTAGATATGGTATTGAGATGCTCTGCATAAATCAACACTTTTCAACTAAAGCTTTGATTCACCCTTGCAGTATCAAAAATGATCACAGTGAATCCTCATCGAGTTAGACTACATGTACATATATCTTATCACACTTCTGTTCTAGGAAAACACTTTTGAAATTGAAAGTATTTTTTAAAAATCTCGTGGCCTTTCATTCTTTTCCCTGAGCAAAGAACTCGAAAACACCTTAGGTAACTGGAGCAAACAACGATATAACTTAGATAAAAGTCTTCACTGCACCGACAATTGTAATCGAAAGCATCGTTTGTTAAGTGAAACTTCCTACCTTTCTCTATAATTCGAGAGCTCAAAAAACGCACGTATCTTTACAATGGTTGAATCATTTAAATCCAAATATTATAAAGATTGCATCAGATGTACACATAACCAAAATATTACAGTTCTATGATAACTCGAAATTCTGATCGATATGAAGATGAAAATTTTCAGAGCGTGTTCGTGCGGTAACAAACTTCTTCATCTTCGAACGAAGGAAGGAAGCTTCATCCTCGATAAAAGTTAGAAAATATGTAGAAATACTTCGTTCAAATAAACAAACTGCGTGCATTGAAAACGCTAAATCTAGCCACTGTAGACTGTGCAAAGTATGTGAGAATAATCAGGAAATCTGCCAACTCACCTGAGCCCATGGGTCGAGGAAGTCTGGCGAGCTAAAAAATATATCTTCCTCCAGGTCTGCATCTTTTTTCGCGTACACGTGATCCAAAGAAACTGTAGAAGGAGAAGCATTTACAACCATCTTGTCGAAATAATTGTCAATAGTTCAAAACCCTGCCAACATCTAAAGTTTAAACGTGGAACAGAGTGCTGTTGTCAACTGTGATCTTATTTTTAGCAACATACGTCATATAAGGAATCCTGACCTGTTGGAAATGGTGACGTGGCAGGGCCGTGGAACCGGGAATATACCTGGGACCAGGCCTAACGCGATAAAGTTAAACCGAGCCATTTGGCTTCTTCCTCGATTGCACTCAAGATGATTGATAATCGACAAAATTTGATTTATTCTTGTGTGTTATTACGGACTGGGATGAAATCTAGTACCATGAAAATGCCATGATAAACTTGCCCATATTGAAAGAATAGACCTAGTCGGCAAAGGATTTTTTAACGCTTAAAGATAACACCAATGACGATCATGCTCTTTCCCCAACGCTCATGCAACGATCTCAAACGCCCAATGGAAGGAAGGAGCTCTCCTCATTTGGGTGCCGATCCCGAAGGAAAAAGTACCCCTGAGGGACCGCACTAACGAACCTCGGCGGTCTTACGTTCAGTCATTCCAACAGAGTCAGTGGATCAACCGTTGTCCCTTTCTATCAGAGCTCAAGATTTAAGGCCTTTTTATCAGTTATTACATTTGAGATGGGTTAACTTAGCCGTCCTTTTTCGAAGGTATTATCAGTGTCCTGAAATGAGAGTAATTCCTCCTTGATATTTTCTTCTATATCTTTAAAATTGTTCAGTGTGGAGTGCACCTTTTTCATTGTGGTGTAGATACCTTTGTGAAATGATAAGGTGTCTGTAATGTTGGGGCTTAAAGTCCCACTAGTACCACTGTTTGATAAAATCAAACATTCTTAACACATTTCGATAGCTTATTGAACAAAAATGGTGACAGCTAAACCTGTTTTGACAGCTAAAGTTCTTCATCTTTTTTGTCCATCATATAGCTGTTGGTTTCATAAAGAATGGAAGTCAAAGCCTACAACATCCGAGCGATTGAATAAAATAGCTTTAACCTAAGAGAATTTATAACCTCTTGCTTTAATTGTTTTTATAGTCGAGCACAAGAAGTAAGAAAAAGAGCTACGACGCGGAGGTTTCTTACGAGTTAGTTCTTTCACTCCCAACTCTTAGCAATTTCTTCATACTCTCTGCCATACAATTCTCATGATGTTAGTTTGGAGAATTTGATACTGGATCAGCTAATAATCCCCTAATTGATAATCTACTTTGTTCTAATCTCTAGTCTGCCCGATACTGTATTATCATTATAATTATTATTGTTAATATGATTGTTTGTCACTCTTTTAATATTGGTTGAGTCTGATATCGATCTTCGGATGAAAATCTAACTGTTCAGTGGCAATAAATATTAAGTCTAACATCCGCTGTAAAACAAGATAAAATATTTTTTCAGTTTTGCATGCGCAAAACCGACCATCATCGATCTTAAAGTAAAACGTACAAAACCGAAATACACGTGGTGACACAGAACGACCGGTGTTACTTATTTTTTTGGAGTATCTTTGTAGTTCGACATTCGCACTCAATACACAGTTGAGTTCTCTCCTTTTGTGATTTCTGGCTCATAGCCACTAGTACATCATGTTTTCAGTTCTTGCCCTAACATTACGAAAGACAATAGAAAGTGATAGAAATCTCACAATCATTTCAGGATTGCGCGAAATTTAAAGTAAAAGTTTTCTTTGCAGAAATGTCATAACAGGTTTTATCGGTGCATCATATAATTTACGGGAATTGTTTTTTGCCGTTTAAATTAGCAAATGACGTAGATCTTTTTTAATTTCTTGCCGCGACACTCCAAAAGACGATAAACATCTCAAAATAATTTCAGTGGCATCCACGGACCCATAATTTTGATAAAAAAATTTTCCTTGCAGAAATACGTAAAAACTGGAACTGCAATAGAATAAGATAATTATTTACAATTACCTTCTGAAGTTTTAAAGAAGCATAGAATCATTGGTGAAGCCGAGAGGAAAGGGGAACCATTTATTGCTTATTGGCACTTATATTTGTTACTTATTGGTTGAGTGTTACCGGCCTTGCTTTAAAAATAAACCTTATCTGTCACTTTTAATCGTTCTTTTGTTTTTTTTCAACGTCCAAATCGTGCAACCAATAAGATTTGATCTCCAGTTTCTTTTTTTCACTTTCGTAGTCATTTTCGTCCTACAGTTTCTACCATCTGGCGACCCATTTGCACCGCGCAGAAGTCTTCTAGAGTTTGGCGATAGAAGTGTTTTTCAGATCACCAGCGATCCTTTGTCCCTTTCTAGCAGCGCTCAAGAGTATGGACGAGTGCGATTACATTTGATTAAGATGAATCGACTAAGCATTCCATTAAATAGCTTTCTTTTAGACTTTTGAAAATAACATTTGGTGCAGACCCTCTACGCAAGGCTTTCTCTCCCTCTATCGACTAATTATCGAACCCAGGACAGTGCATCGGAGCACGGTCGCTCCCACGATCGACATTCACGATCACCTTACGAGGGGAATATTCGAATCATCGTCTCTCATGTTAAGTAAAGTGTCGCGACCAGCGAGTGTCGAGAATCTTTATAGATGGTTATTTCCTGGGATGGTTGTTTCATTTAAAACAAAAATTAAAGTTTTTTTTTTCCTGAAATGTTATGTTTTCTCTTCGCTGTCGCAGCAAACACCAAAACTGAAGAGAGAGTCTCACAAGTATATACTGGGCTTACTGTAAACACTCATACCAAATGAATTACTACACCGCTTTATCAATAAAAATTGACCATGCGTCTACCCAAACAGTTATCGAAAGATTTTTAGGCCAATAAGAGCGCGCATGGACAAATAATTGACAAATACAAACTATCTTACACTTCATAACAAAACAAACCCCTTTTATTTCCTCTGAGCGTAAGTTTTGTATTCAAAACTGTACAACTAAGTAACTTCGGTAAACCCTTTGTACACTTTGATGCAAAATATGATAAAATACAATCTACCTTCGGTACAAAACTTCTACGAGACAATCAACACGCCTGCTCCCTCTGCACAGCAGAGAAACAAGAAAAGAGATTTTCAATTTTACTTCTTTCGTAGGGTGGAACTTTACTCAAAAGGAGACAAGATGTGAGGGCTTTTCGCTAAGAATATATACATAATTTTTACAACTTCACAGTCAACCAACAAATAATCGTTATTAATTTAGAAAATAAATAAACTTAATAAATGAAAAATATGGCGACTGTGAAATGTTCTTAAATCTATATTTTCGGTACTAAACAGAATCAGAAATGCAGTAAAAGAAAGGCTAATTAAAACTTTGCTTGTCAGAAGCTGTCATCTTTTTTCCCTGTCAATCTCAACGTTGCGTCTGTCTTCTCCGTATCTTTTGGCCTCGCCAGACTTCGGAGAGCTTGAAGGATTCCCGTGACGCGACGACGATGAATCGCTGCTCCTATCGCGATACGAATGGTGGCGACTTTCGGTCGAGTACTCCCGAACACTACTTCGGTGATGCTCATCTCTTCGGTCTCGACTCTTTTCGTAAGATCGGAAATGATGATCCGAGTTCCTCTCGTAAGACGACCGCGAATGTTGATCGTGGGAACGACCGTGCTCCGATGGCCTGTCGTGAGTTCGGGAATAGTCAGAAGTGTGATAGGAAGGCCTGTCGCGCTGTGGATCGTGGTATCTGTGACTGTGGTCATGTCTGTCATGGCGTAGAAAGAAACGGATATGTCAATATAAATACTAGAATATTGGTACTTTGACAAGCTTCTGTAAGCATTTCAGTTAAAGCGATTAAAAACTGGGATTATGGCAAAAGTTTGCACGAAATTTCATTTCTCTTCTTCCTGGGTCAGATACATTTTGAAAGAATGTTATGCGTTGGAATGCCAAGTTAACCCATCTTGATCAAATGGAATCATAGCTCGTCCTAAAATATTGAGCTCCGATAGAAAGGGACAAAGAATCATACCCGTCACGTGACCCGTCCCGTGGCCTGTCCTTGGTTGATCCGCTGACTCTGTCGGAATGACTGAGCGATGACCGTCGAGGGTCGTACCCATCCCCACTCCCAGAATGCCTCCCCCCACCATGTGAACTTGACCCTGAGTTAGTACGGTCCATCCGGGGCACTTTTCCACCTGGCCCCAAATGAGAAGAGCTCCCTCCTTCCATTGGACGTTTGAGATCGTTGGATGAGCGTTGAGGAGCATGATCACCAGGATGCTTTCTGGAGTGGGACATTCCTGAAGAGTCTTGAGGGGCTCGCTGTGACTGGGGGGCGGGCCTGTTCTGAGTACGCTGCAAAGAAAAGAAAAGAATGGATCACAAGGTGGGTTCAGTTTAAGTTTATCATTCACCTTAGACTCGAGTTGCCTTTTTTAACTTCCTGAGACCCTGTTTTTGATCTGTGTTTTTTTTTTTTTCTTTCATTGAGACAGCGGCAGCAGAGCCACAACATTATTTTAAGAATACTCCATGTACCTCTTGCGCTTTCGTCTCATCTCTCTTCTTAGCAGCGTGTTTGTAAAGCTTGAAAAGCTTCTTGGCTTCAAACGAAGTGAACTTCGACACAAACGTCCAAAGGTTGCTGGAAGAAACAAAAGATAACAAACTTTACAACCTAATGTAACACATACAGAAAGGTACTTACGAAATTACACCATAATCAACAACATATAAGCCACGTTGCCGGCTTCACGTGAAGTGAACCGACTACTTACTTCCTCCACTCTGTGACAACATCACCGTCTTTATAATGAGATGTGATTTCCGTGATGTGATCTCCAATTTTCAACAAGCACTGAAATGTAAAGGTCATTCGGTAGAATTGAGTTGTTATTGGGGACTGCAGTTTAGATTATAGCGCAGATTATCATTTTGAAAAGCAAAGGTGAAAGGTTTTTTTTTTTATACTAAATCAAAATAATCGCACAATTTACCTTAAAAAATTGATAGACAGATAAAGCTAACAAAAAGCTATCGGAAATGATCGATAGTGCTTGGAGCATCCTGGACTCGAATTCATTTTCACTTCCGCCGCTCAAACCCAGGCAAAGAAATCGGACCGGAAGTAACTCAACCGGTGTTATCCTCAGTTCGCTTTTTATAAAATTCTTGTGAT